CCACTTTTGTAGTACAAGTCTCATAAAAAAAAGTATCATACTTGATGCACAACTCATCATAAGTCATCTCCTCATTATCATTTTGTGCTAGATCATCATCATTTAAAGACACTTCCTCTATTGGAACAACAAAAGCAAAAAAATTTCTCCATCACTCCAAGTAACCATCATTGCTTTGTCCCTTTTATGACTTGATTCCCTATTGTTTGCACACTCAACACCACGATGTCCACTTCCACCACAAGAAAAGCATAGACCAGATTCTCTAGATAAGGATTTAACCCTTCTACTTATGAACCAACCTTGTTTTCTACCAAAAGTAAACTTTCCATGTGATTGGTACTTTGAGTTTCCAGATGACTCCCCAACCTTTTTTATATCATTTCCTTTATTGTAGAGAATTCTTCTGAATTAGTTGACAAACAAGGCAACATCATCTTCTGGAGCATGCTCACAAGGAACATTGAAAATCTTTGCATTTTCAACAATATGAAGAGCAATATCACTCATTTTCTTGGCATCATCTTTTTCCATATCTAGCTCCATTTCATACCCACCAGTTTTCCAAGTTTGATCTCATTCAAATGTTGAAATTCTTGAATGGCAGCTTTCTAAGCCATGAATCTCTTCGTCAATGATCTCAAGATTTTTTGAACAATGGTAATTTCATCAATAGGCTTGCCCAACCCTAAAGCTTCATTAGTTAACATTTCAACTTTTTCATAGAAAACCGAGAAGGTCTCAGCTTCATTCATCCTTAAGTGCTCAAACTTTCAAAGAATGAGATCCCACACTTGTTTATCTCCTTCATGATGAATTATGAGCTTGTCCCAAACTTGCTTGGCCATTGTGCAATACAAAATATGTGTAAATTGAGTTGGAGAAATGGTGGTGACAATGACATTTCTTACTTTTCTGTTTGCCATGGCAGAAGTAATTTCACTAAGAGACCATTCTCCTTTAGATTTAACCACAGAACATTAACATTTCTTGACGTTCCTTTCCATTCTAGGGTAAGATAGTCAACAACAATTAAGTCTTGAGCTTCCATAATGATTTGAAACTTTTCACTCCATGCAGCATAATTAGATCCATCAAATAATGGAGGAGTATTGCAAGATGTACCAACACGATCACGGTCCATGGTGAGATTCCACCCAATTCCAGTAAATCTCAGAGATCACTCTATGTATATCTAGAGCAAGGCTTTGATACCAATTGAAATTGGTACCAGGATCCTGTATATATATATATAATTTTTGCTAGACCGACTAGTCAGGCCTGCTAGTTAACTAAGATAGATTTGTTAGTCAATAAATCAAAGATTCAATAACCAATTTCAAATACCAAAAGTTATCCTAGTTAGCAAGGCTTCAGTTCGTTCCAAGTTATTACTGCGTCAAGTAACCATGATTGTGAGCACATACCAATTTATTCAAGTGATACACGTAGCATGTATATGTATGTGAGATATGTGACACAATATAAATAACTTTGAACACAAGATACTTTTGGCCTGAAAAAAAGCCCACCTTTAGTTAAAAAATTGGGGACTCTCCACAGAGTCCAATCCACTAGTATAATCAAGATTCTTACAAAGTACCGCAAAGTTCAATTCCTAAACCTAGTCTATGGAGCAGCTTTACTTTTGTGCAACCTTGCCTTACACAAAATGGATTCCTTTGGTCTTCACAAAGTGGCAGCTCCTTTTGAGCTCTTCACCTTGTGGCACCGAAAATATGTTGTCTTCAAGCTTCACAAGATGACAACTCCTCATGAATTGTTCACCTTGTGGCACCGAGACCAACACACAAGTTATGCATATGATGATATAGCAATTATATACAAATCTAGATTCAAATGTCCAATCAGTTTCTCCAATCAACCTGTCGAAGGAAGAAACTGATGAGAATCCTAAATTGGGTCAGTTTTAAAGATTTGAAACTAGAAACACTTGACGACAAATTTATTGCAAAACCAAAGACAATGCAACCCTATTATTCAATGATTGAGTGTTTAATGCATGAAAGAAGGTTTTGCAACTAGGTTTTCATAAATGAAGAACAAAAAGGAAGGTGAGTTCTTAATGCCCCTTCCTCTCTTTCTCTCTCTAGGAATACAATCTGAAAACCCCAAATGAACTAAGGAACCAATTAGGGATCTTAACCCTAAAAGCTTTGGTTCATTTTTCAACCCACATGACACGTGTCAAGCTTCAAAACGATCTGAAAAGATCAAGGGTGAAAAACAGACATTCGATAGAAAGCTGTTAATTAGCCCATGTGGTCATGTCTTAAATTGTGTACCTAGCTTGCTGGAAATCCGCCCGCACGGCTGACTAGACAACTAAGCTAGTCAGAAAGAAACAGGAATGTAGACGTGAAATCCCCCCCCCCCCAGAAATACATAAGATGGTTTTTTAATCCACAATAAAAGAATTTCTAAAAACCAAACAAATTGTTTTCTACCAAAAAATCCGGTGCCATATGCATATGACCTACTTTTTAACTCACAAACGTCATTGATAAATTATGATGTGGTATTGAAAACCGTCATATTGTTTAACCAATCAATTTATATTATAACATGTGAAGTTAACCATGAATACCACAACCTAAAGCATTTTTCATTGATTGGTCATTAACCATAGTAAAAGCTAAGATTTGTTTTTGTTTTGTTTTGTTTTGTTTTTTTGTTTTTTTGGGTCAAAAGGTTAAATACATTACCAACAAGTGAAGTACAACAAAGGCCCAATGCCAACCTTGGAACCCAGCACATACAAACAAACCACATAGAAGACCCTAGACAACTAGGCTTCCTAAAGCTACAAATGACAATGCCGCCACCAAAGAGCCACATCATGATCATCACGATCGACCACCCTCCACGATCACTTGAGATCAGACCATCAAGAAACCCATAATTGGTGAGGACAAAGATCACATCATCCTCCAAAGATCGACACTGGAATAGTCGCCATGAGATCAAGAAGCACGCAGGTAGAAAGAACCCATTAACAACATCGCCGACAAGGGTGAGTAACGAGAGTGACCAACAAGGGCCAACAAGGGTGGTGGTGTAGACACCCGAGCTAAAGCTCTACACACCCGAGCAAAGATCCGTGACAAAACGCAGTTAGTAAAGGTGGTACGCAATCGAAAATGAAGAGAGAGATGATGGAGCCAACTGAGGAAGATGATGGAGGGGAAGGAGTCAAGGAGGATGGAATAAACGGGGGATTGAGGTATAGGCCACATGATGGTGAAATCAAAGGCAAAAGGAGAAACAGGAGGAGTAGACCATGCAGATAGCATGGATGGGGAAGGAAAATGTGTAGGCACCAAGAAGAGGAAGAAAAAACTGAAATTAAATAGAGCACAATCCACAAGGGGAATACACGAGGTTGTCACCGACCCTAGTCAAAGCTAGGGCCGGCACCGAAGCAAAATGGAAAGAACGAAAACCAGTCACACGACCAGTGGCGAAGCCAGGAATTATCGAGGGGAGGGGCGGAATTTAAAAGGATAAAAATCCCAATAAATTTAAACAACCAAATCCTTATAAAGAATGAACAATATTAATTTTGTTCAATACAAATTTAGACAACCAAATCCTTTTTATATACTATTTACAAACCAATAGACATTATCGATGAACTTATAATTTGGAAACCCATTTGATAGAGAATTTAGTAGCAACAAAAAATAGCTAGGACATCAGCTTCCTCTTAAATATAACCTCTCTCTTACCAAAAACAAATGGACTATCAAAATATCAACAAGTTGTAGATATCCCAATAACATAAGGCTCCAGTAATAACCGAGTAAAGAAGTAAAAAATGACACCCAAGATGATAGATATAGGCAAAGCTGGCAAAGCTCGATGGTACATTGACCACAAAATAAGAGTGCACTCTGAGTCCCAAAATAATGGCAAGATAATAGGCATACACAGTCATAAGGTCATGCATTGCAGCTCTGCGCACAAGAACACCGTAGAAAACGAAATCCCTTAGACCAAGTTTAATACCTTTGTACTGAACATTTTGCTACCTCCTCCCCTTCATCTCTATTACCCTCACTTTCCTCGTTTGCCACCTCAACATCAACAATGGTATACTCAGAATTACTGCCATTTCATTCTCATTTTCATTCACATTGCCCATGGGGACTAATTCGTCAGATAATTCTTTGAGGCATTAAAACAAACACATGGAGTGTGTATAAAGACAAGCAAAAAGCAATAAGAGAGGCAGATGGAGGAAGACTATCAAACACCTAGAGATTTTCGAAAGCGAATCATCAGACGCCTAAGGTTTCAATATTAACCGATCAATCAGGCAATTGGGAATCCCCAAGTGAACAAAAAAAAATCAAATCTTTCAACCCGAAATCGTACCTGAAACACAAAATTCAAATACCCAAAAAACCCATTTGCTCAAAAACGAATTGAATTGGAAAAGAACGAACCTTTGAGTGTTTGGGGTTGGGAGGAGGGGAGGCATATAGGGCGCTGTTATGTGCTCTAATTTGTTCTGGAAATAGGAAAACGAGGTGAAGAGGTAACGGGCTAAAAGCTCAAACGACGTCGTCCTATTTACTTTTTTTAAAATCACCAAACGAGACGGCGTCGTTTTTGCTAAAGGATTTAAAAAAAAAATTATAACACTCTTGCTGCGCAGCAGCAGAAACCCAGAAAACCAGAGATTGGGCTGAGCAACCATCATTTCCGACGGGACCAGAGGGGCGGAACCACCGCTCTTAGGCTTGATTTCCGGCGAGGGGAGGGGCGACCGCCCCTCCTTGCTCCTCTGTAGCTTCGCCACTGCACACGACGGTGAGAAAGCCTCACATAAGAGAGAACCTGTCACGGGAGAGAACGAAAACCCTGGTTGGATTCTAGTAAAAGCTAAGATTGGTCACTAATCAACCCATATTATAACACGTAAAAAGCAAAGTGACGGTTAAATACCCAATTCTGATTAACACAACTGCGCGCAATTCTGATGAAGAAATTCTAATTTCATTTAGCAAAAGTAGATTGCATGACTTGTGAACAAAGGAAACCATAGGCCACAACCAATTCATATCTTGAAGTAAACAGTATAACTCAACCCCGCAACAGGGAATAATCAAAGTAATGAATCCTACCAAAGAACATTCGAATAAAATTACAGGGGCGATGATAAGCAGATTAACATCCCCGTCACATGTATACGGAGCAGCAGCCACTTCGACAGCCTAAACTTCGAACGCTTCATGAAGATCTATTACCCCTCTGATATACTTCTAACCCGTTTTGGTTTTTGGGGCAGCCTTCTTTTTGACTTGCCTCTTTGGAATTGAGTTCTTCATGCCAATGAAGAAAAGCAGTGCACCAAAAAGCGCTGCGTGCTGTAGAAAGAAAGTTGAATCTCAGCAAACGAGGTTCCTGCTCATTTGGAATAAAATTATATGATGAAAAAACAGATAAAGCAATAAGCACACGTATACAAACCTGCAAGAATTCGTTTAGGAGTATGCCAAATTTGGCGTTCTCAGGACTGTAGTTGTAGAAATCATAGATAAAGGGAGTGGTAATTGCCAATTGTAGAAGCTACAATAGAAAAACGTTATGTGTCAATAATTTTCAAAAAGCTTATATGTTGGCCAGAAATTTAGAAAAATGAATACTAACCAGGAGAGAAGCTCCAAAGGAACTGTTAAGCACGAATAGAAGTCCTCCAAGCCCTTTCATTGCTACCACACCAGCAGCTAAATGTCTTACCTGTACAAGAAATTCCTGTATCAAAAGCAAAACTACAAATACGCAGCATGACCAAAGAATCCAAGTGAGAAACTGCAGAAAAAGAAATAAAAAGACTTACCTCTATCTCCGGTATTGCAACCCCTAGCTTAGCGGACAAATTTTTCTTGAACACATTAAACTTGGGAGCCAAGTCCTTTGCAGCGGGGCCACCATCAACACCAAATTCATTAAACCTGTATACACAGATGTTACATCAACACCAAGGAACAGAATATTGTCTAAATTTTAACACACCAAAGTGCAACAGATTTTGCTAAAGATAAACAATAAGCCTAGCAAATTCGTGCATAATTCTAGCAATATGGTGCACAGAACATGACCACAAATAATTCCTTTTGTAAAATGATGGTAAACCAACGGGCGAAGCGCCAGAAGATACATATTCTTAACAATGTCAGTGCAGAAAACGGGCCAATTCCTTGACTAATGTCCTTAATACATAAATTTACATATATGTGTGTGTGGGTCTTGAGGAGAACGAAAGCGGGGGATTTGAAGTCACAACATTACAATATTTACAACAACCGTCACTAAATAGAGAAAAATGGAAACTTGATTTTGAAATTAACTTTATCACCTAAAGTGCCATTCCATACTGTAAATAGAGATATATTATCCGAATCAAACTAACGAAACTTGAAAACTCGAAACAGAATATTGTCTTAGTTTTAGGGGAAGAAAAAGAAAAGATTCTTCAAAAGTATGTAAATAAGTTCCTATACACATTTCAACCAAACCACATCCTTGTCCGTCGAAAAAGAAAATCAAAGTTCATTTATCAAAGACCAGACAAGGAGCACCCAACTTAACTTCACAGAAACGCAAATAAGTTGGTTTGGTGTCGGAAAAAATTATTCTTAATCCAGATTCCATAAGACAATACAAAAGATCATTAGATCTTCACAATTCATTCAGCCACCCGACTCTCTACGTGCCAAAATTAATCAAACCAACAAGGGATTTCGAAACCGAGCACACGTAAATAGATCTCAGTCACTTCATAACACTAATAAATCCAAAACTAAGTAGTAACAGCAATCCAGAACACTTGAATTATTGTTTTGGAAAACAATACCTTTTTTTTTTTATTGAAAACTCACTTCAAAAATTTCAAGCAAACAAACACCAATATATATACATATATATATATATATATATATATATATATATGTGCACACACACAAAAACATATTATGCAGAGGCATAAAAAATCTGAAAAAAAAACCCGAAATATGCTTAAAGTTAGATCGAAGAAGTAAAGCTAAACTAAATCGGCTAAGAGTAGAAAAGCAAAAAGGAGTATACATGTATGGTTGGGAGAGAAGCCCTAATCGAGCAGATCTAGAGAGAGAGAGAGAGAGAGAGAGAGAGAGAGCTTACGCTTGCCAAGCAGAGAGGATGAAGATGGAGGCGAAGAGGACGCGGCCGAGGAAGGAGACGAACCCCATTGTCTTTCTGCACAGGAGGAGAAAAAAGAAGGACGACAGAGCGCCGAAAACGACGGGGTCCGCAGGGTCTCCGAGGCGTTTGGTTGGAGTGCGGGTAGTCGTTTCTCGTTTGGGTTCGGTATTTAAAGAAGCGGATTTATAAGGGCTCAAAGACTTAAGACTTAAGATTTTTTCTTTTTCTTTTTCTTCTTTAAATTAAAATAAAAAAATTAATAATAATTAAGATGGCCGGACAGCAAAGCCCCCAGGTTGCTTTGAAATCTCAATCCAAACTGCACAGGGCCGTGGACTTTGACCCGACTCTGCCGCGTGCGACAAGAAGTGATTTTATTTGACTCGCATCACTTCTTTATATTGTTTTTTGGGAGGATAGTCATGTTGTGTAAAATTTTGATTTTGTCGACACCATTTTCAACTCTTGTATTAAAATTTAAAAATTTTAATTCAGAAAAATTAGATTTTAACTTATAAATAATTTTTTTTGTTTCAATTCTTTTGTATTAAATTTTTAGTCTGAGATTATTAAAAGATGAATTTAGGATAATTTTTTTTCTTCAAGTAACTTTTATTTTAAAAAAAAATTAGGGTAAATTACACTTTACTACCTTAGGTTTGTGGTCGATTTCAATTCCTTACAACATCTTTAAAACATTTCAATTTCATACCATAAGTACTAGTTTATTTTAATATAATAGATCCGTTACATTTTTCATCCATTGATCCGTTAAAATCTGACGTGGTTGCCACATTTGTGTCACGTGGCTGCCAAGTTTATGCCACATGGCAATTTTTTTTATTACCCTATTATAAAAAATAAAAAAAACATGAAAACCAGAAACCCATTCCCCTCCACCCCTTTCCCCATTACCATCGCAGCCCTTCCCCATTACCATTGCAGCCCCCATACTACTCCTCCTTTTTCACCTTCTTGACCCACCTTCTCCCTCCTCCACTCTCTTCACCTCCCCTCCCCTCCCCTGGCCGAGACCCACCGCCAAAGACGATGCCGAATCGGAATCTAGGCTCCCTTCCAAACTCCTTCCCTTCCCTCAGCCCCATCCCCCCACCGCCACTCAACCCCACCCCTCTCAAGCTTCGACTGCTCAACGACATCGCTGAGATCTTCAGCACCGAGCTCCCCCCTGATTTCTGGCTCACCTTCCTTCCTATGCTCAAATTTGATGTAACCTTCTTCTTCCTCTATTTCTTTTCCCAAATTTATATTACAAATGTTCTGTTTTTATTGAATTTGCGTTGTGGGTTTTGATTGTTAAAATTTTAATTGCATTTGTGTTGTGGGTTTTGATTATTGAAGATTTTGAATTGCATTTGTGTTGTAGGTTGGGATTGCGGGTTGAGAGAAGGGAGAAAGGGGGTGGGGTGATGAGGTAGAAGACGAGTGGGTTTTGGGTGGGGTAGGGAGTTATGACTTGCGAGGGAGGTGGGGCTGGGGTGGGATGGGGTGTTTGGGTTGCAGGAAAGGGAAAGGGCTAGGGGAAGAAGATGGGTGGTTTTTATTTATTTATTTTAATAAGGTAATAAAAAATTATTATTTTTGCCATGTGGCACAAATGTGGCAACCACGTCAGCTTTTAACGGATCAATAGATGAAAAATGTAACAGATGTATTATATTGAAATAAAATAGTACTTGAGATATGAAAGCGAAATGTTTTAAAGATGTTGTACGCTTCAGGCGCGATGTTTAAGCCAATAGGTCGAGATTGATGATTCTTCATTAAAAGCTGGTTCTGCTTTTCAGCAAGAAGTAAAACAGAGATCAAATCTAAAAACTTGGTGAATTTATGTGCCCTATATTGTTGTTGCAGGACAATATTGGTGGCATGGAAGGTCAAACAGGTATTTTCCAGGGGATTTGATTCGGTTAGTTCCACTTTGCAGAATTTCAACGGTGAACAGATTCTACAAACTTCAGAGTTGTATTCATTCACGGACTTAAAGTCTTGGAAGCAAAGATACTGCTAGTCGTGTCTTGCTTCAGGCAAGTAGATGTCTTTCTGGTGATCGAAACAGTCGGTCAGAGCAAGCTAGAAGGTGTGTGGGTCCTCCTCAGCGAGGTACTCGGTCTGCAGTGCATCATGGATGTGTCTTCGAATAAAGATCATTGCATTAGCCTTCTGAGCTTCTTTAATAGGTTTGTCCGCGATAGGTGTCTCGATGGTGGCTCGAATACCTTTTGTAGTCAAATGGAGCTTCAGGTCTTGAACCCACTTCAGATAGTTTCTTCCAGAGACTTCTAGAGAGCTTAAGGTCTTGAACCCACTTCAGATAGTTTCTTCCAGAGACTTCTAAAGCGGAGAAATCGAGCTTGTTCTAATTTGACAAGTCCCTAAAATAGAGGGGAAAATGTGTTTAGTCATATGGTAAGCCATAGACATATATCGTAGAACATATAGGTTCTATAGACATGTATTGGTTAAATTTATACATGAAAACTATAGGTTTCATGTGGTATGTTTTGAATGAAAACTTCATGTTTCAAAGGCAAACTACAGGTTCAATTTAGTTTTATGAACAATTAGTTCATAATGAGAGGTTCTTGCAAGAAACACATAATGCAATACACTAATTTAAATATAGTGGATTAGAGGTTCTTCAGGAACTTAAGTGTGAGAGCTTCGTTACTACGAAAGTATGTTACGGTTCAAAGTATAAAAATAAATTATTGAATCGTTAATGTCCAAAAGTAATCATTAGATCAATAATTTTGGATTCATTATCATATTCATGGATTGCATGTCAATTTTAATTAATTCAATAAATCGGGCCATACATGGTCAATTGTAGAAGTAAAATAATATTAAAATAATATTATCTAGTAAAACATATAGCCCCAAAAATAATTGGGCTTAGGTCATGTGCCTTGAGTAAAAGGCAGGGCCCTAAAGGGCCTCGGAAGTGGGCTGCAGGCCACGGGGGTGTGGGAGAAACCCTAGCCGTAGCTGGGCTTCAATTTTGGGCCGAGGGGGGGTTAGGCATGGGAACAAGGGCCAGCAGAATTTGCTAGCCTATGGGTTAAGGCATGAGAGCCCAGCCGCAATGGGCTGGCTGCATGTGTGCAGGCCGGGGCAGCTGCAAAGCCCAACAACCAGAAAGGTTGCGGAATGCTAGTCGTGGGCCGAGACAAGGGAGCAGAGCTACAAGCCCGTGCGACATGGAACCCAAGCCGAGTTTTGGTTCTGTTTGAGATGGAGCAGCAGGCCCGAAAAAAAAAAGCTGTGCAGGTGCTCCAACTTGTCAACGCCATCCACGGTGATGCCGTGGTGTTGCCACGGTGATGCCAAAGATTACCCAAAATTTTTCAAACCTAGGGTTTAGGAAACCCTAAATATGCTTCTAATTTGATTTTATACATTGACTCACATATTCCACATAACAATTTAATTGTGCGCTGCATGAAACAAATATATAAACATATACAATATATATATCGTAAGGAAAATATAAACATAGAGGGGTTCATGCATCATGGGGAATATTTTCATGCTTCATGGACGTTTCAAATATCTTTTTTTATTTTAAGCGTACCTGATTAATAGAAAACAAAAATAAGCCTTTGAATTTGGTGGATGATAGCCTCCTCCTACAATGCGTTAATTTCTCAGCTTTTGGCAAGAGTGTGCTGATAATGTGTTGTACGCCTATTTGATTGAACGATCTAAGGTTTAGAGAGAAGATAGATTGATTTAATTGTGAGATGATGTTTGATTCACCCCATTATGCCTTTATTTATAGTAGTAGGATAGGTAAAAACCTTTCCCTTTAGGATTACAATATTTAATAGGTAATCAACTCCTAATAGGAATATAAGATACATTCCCATATCCACTAAGATTTATACAATCACATTCCTATTTTAAATATCACTGCAACAAAGGATTCATTTTATTTGAACCCATATAACATTTTTCTACATCCAACTTAAACTTTAAATATGAATTATCTTGTTTGCCCTATTGCATAATTACAATCAAGTATAAGACGAAATTAATAATAAAACTAAAATTGATTAATAAATCCAATAATCATACCCGACATCATGCAATCTTTATCTTACGTTAATTATGGCTGAAACCCTAATCTCATAGAGAAAATAAGCTCTTTTTTATTGATGGATGGTGATTTTGAAGTTTTGAATTCTCTAGCTAAGGTATGAATTGATTTATGCAATTTTTTTCGTTTGTTTTTAGAGTTAAGGAACTGTTAACGTTGGGCCCATTTAGGCCTACTGAACGACATAAGCCCAAGGAAAGGCCAAGAAGCCCAAGGCCCAAAGAGCTCGAAGAGGGCCGACCCGAGTGCTTAGATCGATTGAGGCAAGAAAAAGGCTACTCGACCACACGGAGCATGTGAGCGAGCTGACAACTTTATAGCACAAGTATCCAAGGGCAAAACTACTTAAGTGCTACTTAGACCATTTAACAAGTAGTCAAGATAGTACTTGGCAAGGCGGGCGGAGTAACCGAGTTCTAAGTGGGACGCTTGGGCCGCCTGATCTTAAAAGACACGTTATTTGACTTCTAGAACGTCACTTCACTGATGAAGGCCTGCTCGAATAGGTGAAAAGTTGTCAGTAAGCTAGTACAAGTGGTTGGCACATTAAATGCCAATTTGGGAGACCTCAAGAGGGCGAGGCCCGTATAAAAGGGTGTAGACCTCCATTATGGGGGTTGGACAGATAAGAAGGAATAGAGTGAATGTATGAGGCGAGCACCATTTAGTCTTGAAATTAATATATAGAGAATGACACAATGGATTTAGCCCAGTTTTGATCGGTGAACCACTTACATCTTAGAGTCCATTTAATTTCAACAGATCTCATGAGCCCATCTAAAGTCATTTAACTAAGTTTATTAACCTTACAATTTTGAGCATTAGGAGGAACAATAATTCGATGATTGTGAAGTTTCTTACATTTCTGTGCCCTCTTCGTATGTTCTTTTAAATTGCATTTTTTACTTCTAAACTAAATGTGTTTTAGGCATCAGATAAACTCTTTCGTCCTTTCTTGATTAGCTTGTGCAAAACATTAATTTGCCCTGGATGTTGGTGGTTGATTGATAGGAGCATATTTATGCGCCTTAGTTAGCTAGTTCTTATGCATC